TCTCAACCTGTGGGTCGCCAGGTGTTTTGGCCTACAACTCCCAGAAATCCCTGCCAGTTTACCAGCTGTTAGGATTTCTGGAAGTTGAAGGCCAAAACATCCGGGACCCACAGGCTGAGAACCACTGACCTAGAGGGACACCACAATTCCTCTAGTGAAAGATTTTTGTATGTGTCTGCTTGCAGCCCACACTATTGCTTCTTCTTGGCCTGCTCCACTTTACTTAGTGGTATCTGTGTCTCTGTATATGCCTTCAGGTCATAGTGTTTCCTTAGGCAGGGAATCCTCAGAGGTAGTTTTGCCAGTTCCTTCCTCGGAAATATAATCTGGTATGTGTTGGCATTCTCCCGTCAAGTATTAACCAGGGCCAATCCTGTTTAGCTTCCAAGATAAGACAAGATCTGGGTGCCTTTAGGCTATTTGTATCCAGTTGCATCTTAATTAACTTCTCAGTACAGTAGAGCTCATTGCTTAGTCAAATAAGCACTAGTCCCTGTGGGTTTTTCTTTAATACATAACTTTCTGGAAATACGTGGAGAAAGAATTTTTCCCTCCTCTTAGATACAATTTCCTGCTGGAATGTCATTTTAAGCTATTCAAACTTTTGAGTTTTTACTGTCGCCAAAAAGTTCTGAAGTCTCTTTTGTCATCGTTAATATGCTTCCTTGGTCAATAAACAGTAAATTGTTTGGTGCTATATTATACTTCTTGCTTTATTGTGCTTGTATTAAAACTAATGGGTAATGGACATTTTTTGAATGCTATTCTGTACCTGGCAATGCTTTTACATGGCCTAAAGGAAATTGAGTTTTTAGGATTCTAGTATAACTGTTTTAATGGATAAACCTCTGTGGCCTGGGGGTCAGGGAATCTTTAATGGTATAATGTCTTAATTTATTATGGTTTATGTTGTGTGTAATCTGTTTGTTTATATGATGTTTCTTGTGGATTTTTTTAAAATGTTATGTAATTTTTGCCATTTTTAACCATGATGGCGCAGTGGGTTAAACCGCTTAACTTGCTGACTGAAAGGTTGGTGGTTCGAATCCGGAGAGCAGTGAGAGCTCCCGCTGTTAGCCCCAGCTTCTGCCAACCTAACAGTTCGAAAAAATGCAAAGTGTTAGTAGATCAATAGGCACCGCTTCTGTGGGAAGGTAACAGTGCTCCATGCAGTCATGCTGGTCACCTGCCCTTGGAGGTGTTTACAGATAATGCCAGCTCTTTGGCTTAAAAATGGAGATAAGCGCCACCCCCTAGAGTTGGACACAACTAGACATAATGTCAGGGGAAACCTTTACCTTTATCTTTTTAACCATTGTATGCCGTTTGAATCCCATCCCACCCATTGGAGAAAAGCAGGATATAAATAAATAAAAACTGGCCTGGGGCACTTGATTTTCATCTCAAATTTGCCTTGGTTTTAGAATATCCTCCCTTCTCCCTCACTTCCATGCCCACCAATTTTGTTGCCGTATGCTCAGACATTTCAAATCACTGGTGGCAACATCTGTGGTAGTTTCCTCTTTGAATTCGGCTTGATATTTCTTTGGAGACTGCTAACACAGCAGGTTGGCAATATGAGGCCCAGTTAGTTACCTGTCTCTGATTATCAGAGAAGAAACCCTTTTACTATCACTGCTAAGAGTCCTTCCAAGAAACTTTCCTAACCTTTTACTAAGCAACATCTATGAGTTTCATCCTTTAATATCATAGAGCCCTTCCACACACCCCTGTATCCTAGAATATCAAGGCAGAAAATCCCACATTATCTCAGTGTGGATGCAGGTAACCCAGTTCAAAGCTGATGTTGTGGGATTTTCTGCCTTGATGGGATATAGGGTTGTATGGAAGTGACTGAGCAGGAATTCCATCCCCTTTAACTGGGAAATTATTTTGCTGTGAAAGCTAAACCCAAGAGTATTTTTCATATCCGCTAATACACTAGTCTGTAGAAACATAATCATATTTGATCATTCTTTTTACTGCTATTACCTATTTTCATGTTTTATTTTCCCTGTTAAAAGAGAGCAGTGCAGTTTGGGTTGTAAGGTTGGTCACCTTACTCATTTCCCCTCAGAATTGTCTCCTTTTGTGAAGGAATTCTAAGGGCCCTTCCACACAGCCATATAACCCAGAATATCAAGGCAGAAAATCCCACAATATCTGCTTTGGGCTATCTGAGTCCATACTACCATGTATTCCAGTTCAGTGTAGATAATGTGCAATTTTATTCAGCTATTTATTATTTATTTATTTATTTGGGGTTCTTATACCCCGCCCTTCTCACCCCGAAGGGGACTCAGGGCGGCTTACAGGAGCAAGGCACGATTTAATGCCTGCGTCATAAACAATCATACACAAATTTACATAAAATTACAACAATTCACAGATGACATGCATGCAATATAACCATAAAATCAATAAAATCATTAAAACCAAATACAAACCCAGTTTTTCCTCTTACATGGTCAGTGTTTGTTAACACCTAGATCTAGATTTTCGTTCCATTCAACCATCCTGCTGGTCTTACTTGCCTAATTGAGTGATTTAATTACCAGAGTGCCCAAAGGCCTGGTCCCATAACCAAGTTTTCACCCTCCTCCTGAAGGCGAGGAGGGATGATGATGCCCTAATCTCCCCCGGGAGTGAGTTCCACAGGTGGGGGGCCACCACCGAGAAAGCCCTGCCCCTCGTCCCCACCAGCCTCACTTGTGACAGTGGTGGGGTCGAGAGCAGGGCCTCCCCAGATGATCTCAGACTCCGGGGTGGGACGTAGAGGGAGATACGTTCGGACAGATACACTGGACCGGAACCGTACAGGGTTTTGTAGGTCAAAACCAGCACCTTGAATTGTGCTCGGAACTGAATCGGCAGCCAGTGGAGCTGGCATAACAGGGGGGTGGTATGCTCCCTGTATGTCGCTCCGGTGAGCAATCTGGCTGCCGCTCGTTGGACTAGTTGAAGTTTCCGAACAGTTTTCAAAGGCAACCCCACGTAGAGAGCGTTGCAGTAGTCTATTCGGGATGTAACAAGAGCGTGGACCACATGAGGGTTTTGGGGCCGAACAGGTGTCACCCAGTAACACCTTCTGGGACCGTCCCTCAAGAAATGACTGGAGCCACTGCAAAGCAGTACCCCCAAGACCCATGTCTGTGAGGCGTCCCAGAAGGATACCGTGATCGACGGTATCGAAGGCCGCTGAGAGGTCCAGCAGAACTAACAGGGACACACTCCCCCTGTCCAGTTCCCTGCGCAGATCATCTACCAAGGCGACCAAGGCTGTTTCCGTTCCATGTCCCGGTCTAAAGCCAGACTGTGCCGGATCAAGATAATCAGTGTCTACCAGAAATCCCTGGAGTTGTGCCGCCACCACACGTTCCAGGACTTTGCCCAAATAGGGGAGATTGGAAACTGGCCGATAGTTGTCTAATTGAGTGGGGTCCAGTGATGGTTTTTTCAACAGCGGTTTGATAATAGCTTGTTTCAAGCTCGCTGGAATCTTGCCCTCCTGTAAGGAGGCATTAACCACCACCTTCACCCACTCTGCCAAACCCCCTCTGGCTTCCTTGATCAGCCAGGATGGGCAGGGGTCTAGGATGCATGTGGTGGGTCGCACCTCTCCAAGGATCCTGTCCACATCCTCAAGCTGAACCAATTGAAATGAATCCAATAAAACCTGACAAGCAGATGCTCTCGTTACATTCTCAGAGACTGCAGGTAAAGTGGTGTCAAAAACCGACCGAATCCGCCCAATTTTATCTGCGAAGAATCGAGCAAACGCTTCACAGCGAGCTCCAGAGTTGTCAGGGATCTCGCTTTTCGGCGGATTTAACAGACCCCTGACAACTCGGAAGAGCTCAGCTGGACGATTCCTCGCAGATGCAATATTGGCCGCAAAAGATGTTTTTTGTGCTGCCGCTATTGCCACATCGTAGGACCTTAAAAAGGCATTCAGATGTGTTTGGGCTGATTTGGTCGGATTCCTGCGCCACACGCGCTCTAGCCACCTCTTCTTTCGCTTCATTGCTGCCAGCTCCTCAGTAAACCAAGAGGCTGGGTTAGCTCGGTTACTCGAGAGGGGGCGTTCCGGAGCGATTGTGTCGATTGCCCTAGTCATCTCGGTGTTCCAATGAGAGACCAAGGCATCGACAGGGTCGCCAGTCAGGGAGGTGGGAAACTCCCCAAGAGCCGTCAGGAAACCATTTGGATCCATAAGTCTCCTGGGGCGGACCATTCTAATGGGTCCACCACCCCTGCGGAGGTTAGGAGGGACAGTAAGTCTAAACCTAATCAGGTAGTGATCGGACCATGACAATGGAGCGATGGTCAGCTCCTCCGCCCCGACACTGTCATCCCATCCCTGTGTAAAGACCAAATCCAGTGTGTGTCCGGCAGTATGGGTGGGACCAGATACTAATTGGGACAGGCCCATGGTTGTCATGGCGGCCATGAAGTCCTGAGCCGCTCCAGAGAGAGAGGTCTCGGCATGAACATTGAAATCTCCCAGGACCAAAAGCCGCTGGGAGCTCAACGCCATGTCCGAGACCACTCCTGCTAGCTCAGGTAAGGAGACTGTCGTGCAGCGGGGTGGTCGGTACGCTAACAGAATCCCTATCCTGTCCCGGTCACCTAACCTGAAGCCGGCACACTCAAATGATGATGATTGTGGGATGGGGCACCTGATCAGGGGAATATCAACCTTATAGACCACTGCCACTCCTCCTCCCCGCCCTCCAGGTCTTGGCTGGTGCTGCACAGAGTAACCCGGCGGGCACAGTTGGGAGAGATTCACCCCTCCCCCCTCGTCCAGCCAGGTCTCTGTTATACATGCCAGGTCGGCTCGCTCCTCCTGAATTAGATCTCGAATGGTGGAGGTTTTTCCATTTACCGACCTGGCATTGAACAGCACCACCCTTAACCCAGAGCTATGTTGAAGGGACCTAAATCTTCTTTAAAATATATGCTAATAATCGCTTTTGTCTTTGGCTTCTTTCTTCCAGGGAACACCGTTAGCAACCTGATTTTCATTCTACCTCCAATCTATGGTGCAATTCAGAGTTATAGAGATGGCCTTGAAAAACGATACATCATTGCTTATTTGTGTGTCACAGGTAAGAGGATTTTTTAGGAACTCAAGTGATTCTGGGATAGTCACATGCTGAAATGTTTAATTCTCCCTGCTTACTATTCCAAGCATCAAGGCCAAGTGGCAGTGGCAGACTAACTTGCAGTTCCTGTAATTCAGCGAGATTTTAATGGCTAAAAGGCTTTGCCATTGTCTGCTTACAAGATTTGAAATGGGTGTCTTGGCATGCCTCAACAAAGAATTCCTGTAATCATGAGACATTGTTAATTATTCTCTTTGCAAAGCCAGTGGAAGCTTTGACACCATTCACTCTTAATTCAAGATTTTCACACCATTTGTTAACAGATCCATCTAAAAAATTCAATTCAGTAGTATTTCTCCTCCTGAAGGTGCAGCCCCATGCCCAAAATGTATTGGGAGTGTGTTAGAAATTCATTACATACCTCCCTTTGATCATTGCTTTTGATGCTAGAGGAAGGCATAACAGCTGCTGTTCTCCCCAGCCTACCTCTTCCCAAGGCCATTTCTCTTACTTTTCTGTGAAATGAAGTCTCAGCCTTCTAATAAGCACAGTTCAATGTGCTTGAGACACCTTTCAGATAGCATGTGTTGCTTTTTAATTATTGCAGAGAAATGAAAAGGTTTTATAGCTTTAGGCAGCTATAATTATTCTTTGGAGTAGAGTTTAGTTGATTCCCGAACAAATTAGTCCCAAGCTAGAATAAAGCTAATTGTATCCCCCCCCCTCAAAAATGAGAGCTGGGGGAAGGGACATAAAGAGAACATGGTATTTAATGGCAAAATTAGTGTGATAGCTTTTACTCAAACTTTATCTCCCTGTCTGTGCTTGGCCCTGCATGTCCCCCTATATGAGCTTACTTGTGTTTTGAGATCTGTAGAGGAAGGCCCTGTCTTGTGAAGATGTTGGCCTTCTTATTGTTAGTTTTCAGTCTGTTCAGCTCACTTCTCTGAGAGGCCAGGTTGAGGGGGGAGAAAAAATAAAAAATGTAATACGAACAAATCTGTAAAGAATGTGAATGGATAATATAGAAATATGTTATCATAATGTAAATCAACAATGGGCATTTATTATCTGTTCAAATATGTTATTTTGGTTTCAATTAAAAAAATCTAAACAAATCTGAGAGGCCAGGTTGCCCCCCCCCCCCCCGCCAGCTCTTTTACCAGCAGACAAAACCCTTTTCATTTAAATATACCTTTGACCATTAACTGCTTGTTTCAGAAGACTTTTAACCTGGTGGTGATATACTTAGTTTTCCTCATTGTTGTTACATTCTCATTGCTTTCAAACTTTCACATGTTTTTCATGTGAAAGTTTATGTGTTGTTTCAATTTTTCTTTAATATTTCTATTGATTTTAGTCCAGTTAGTGCAGTATGTTCTATAATCTGCCTTCCATCGTGAAAAAAAAGCTATACAGTCAGCCTTCCACATTTGCTGCTGGGGTTATGGGTGCAGAACCACCACAAAAGTGGGAACACTGCAAAACAAACAAACACCAAAACACTATCTTCTACCTGAGAAAACACCTGTCTAGGAATCTTTTATATATATATATATACACACACACACACACACACATACACAGTCAGTCCCCAAGTTACAAACAAGATAGGCTCTGTAGGGTTGTTCTTAAGCTGAATTTGTTAGTAAGTCAGAACAGGTACATTTTTAGGTGTAACTCCAACCAAATATCTGTGGATAGCACAGGGAAAGGTTAACACCCCTGTGATGTTTGTTTTACTGTCTGTGTCCCTGTTCAGAAGATTTCACTTCATTTTCTGTCCCTGTGATAATTTAATTTTGAAATATTTGGCTTGTTGTGAAACAAGGGTTGGTGATAAAGCTGCAGTAGAGACACCTTTTTCCCAATGATAACTCTTTCAAGAGTGAATTTCCCTTTAGAGGTAGATTTATGTCACTTTCTGTTATCTTTCCTGCATGGCAGGAGGTTGGACTAGATGGCCATGTGGTCCCTCCAACTCTGTCATTCTGTGTCTCACCCCTGTTCTTAACTATGAGTTGATTGAAAATTGGATGTATATAACTCTGGGACGGTTTGTATTGGACTGTGGCATGTCTGTGTTGTTCAAACATAGAGTTCTCCTAATCATTCTCCTAGACTCCATATCAATATCATGAGGCTTTTATTGGACCAACTAGCCAGTTAATTTGTGATGACAAGAAACCTTATGCAGATAATTAAAAAGGACATTGCTAATGCAGCTAACAATAATTCTAATTTAAAGTGTTTCTAGTATAAGTAGGAAATCAGTTAACTTGTCCAATGGACCATCAGCCTTTTTGTGGTTGCTGCCTGTCTTGATAATACTATCTTTTATATGAACACATGACATTGCTTTGCACGGAATACAAAAGTTGGTCAGGCTATCACAGTGCTGAGTAAAAGTGACTCTTCAGGGCCTCCTTATTCCTACTGCCATATCTTCTTGCAAGTATCAATACTGTGAACTTGTAGATACTTCGGTGGCCATAGAGAAAATGAAGATAGTGTTTTGGGAATGGACAGGGATTGGTGGCTGGCCTGAAAATTATTGGGCTGTATTTTGGAGAAGACTCCGGAAGGAAATGATTTAACTCTCTGAACACAGATCCAAAATGTCACATGTTGTGCAGATTATTGTAATAAAGTGTGGAGTAGTATTGGGGAGAATAGGGAGGATTAGTTTCTTCTTGCCCAATAAGATGGCTTTCTCCCCTAACAATTTCTTTCTTGTTTTTCAGCTGTGGGGTTGGGCTCTTGGTGCTTTCACATGACTCTAAAGTATGAAATGCAGGTCAGTAGTATACATTCATGTGAGTACGCTACTTTTATGTGTGCCTTTTCCTTGCATATCCTGTTTCTGGGATTTCTTTTCGTGGTAATGTGTATGCGTGTTTACAATATATGAATCTAAGCAAATGCAATATGTTACAGATAATGAAAACATGCAATATAAAGGGCATTCCAGAGTCCTGGAAATAATACAGATAGCCTGACAAACCTAGGAGAAGAAAAAATGAAACTTTATAAGCTTTACTACAGGCAAGGGGGTATTCACCAGCTTAGCTAGATACTATCCAGTAGGCTTGTGCAATTCAGCTGGAAGGCGATCCGGTTTTGGCATCTGAATTTCGTTGGGCACCCAGATCCGTTTTTCGGGAGCCTCCCGAAAATTGGGTAATGGAAATATCTGTTTTTGGCTAGGCAGCTGAAAGATCTGGGAAGATCTGGCCAATTGGCAGCATTGGGGAACTTACAAGGCTCCCCTTTCCGTTCCTGGGACTCTTTTCTATCTTGCCTTACAGAGAGTCTGGGTTTGAGCAACGGGATTAAGGAAGCGCCCTTGCTGGGACTCTTTTCTTTCTTCCCTTCAAGGGAGTCTGGGTTTCAGCAATGGGATTAAGGAAGCGCCCTTCCTGGGACTCTTTCCTTTCTTGCCTTCAAGAGAGTCTGGGTTTGAGCACCGGGATTGAGGAAGTGCCATTCCTGGGACTCTTTTCTTTCTTGTCTTCAAGGGAGTCTGGGTTTGAGCAATGGGATTAAGGAAGCGCACTTCCTGGGACTCTTTTCTTTCTTGCCTTCAAGGGAGTCTGGGTTTCAGCAACGGGATTAAGGAAGCGCCCTTCCTGGGACTCTTTTCTGTCTTGTCTTCAAGGGAGTCTGGGTTTGAGCAATGGGATTAAGGAAGCACACTTCCTGGGACTCTTTTCTTTCTTGTCTTCAGGGGAGTCTGGGTTTCAGCAACGGGATTAAAGAAGTGCCCTTCCTGGGACTCTTTTCTTTCTTGCCTTTAAGGGAATCTGAGTTTGAGCAACGGGATTAAGGAAGCGCCTTTCCTAGGACTCTTTCCTTTCTTGCCTTCAAGAGAGTCTGTGTTTGAGCAACGGGATTAAGGAAGCGCACTTCCTGGGACTCTTTTCTTTCTTGCCTTCAAGGGAGTCTGGGTTTGAGCAACAGGATTAAGGAAGCGCTCTTCCTGGGACTCTTTCCTTTCTTGCCTTCAAGAGAGTCTGGGTTTGAACAACAGGATTGAGGAAGCGCCCTTCCTGGGACTCTTTTCTTTCTTGCCTTCAAGGGAGTCTGGGTTTCAGCAACAGGGTTAAGGAAGCAGTGTGTAAGACACATCACAGCATTCTTCTGTGCAGATTGACCCAACAGCAGGGCTCACAGGGAAACCCGTGCAAGTATTATGTGGCAGCTTCCTCACGCACCACATGATGCTGAATAAGGGAAGGGGAGCTGTGATTGGCTGCCACGTGGTGCCGTAACGGACAACAAAAATGTGACAGGACCCTTACCATTACGGCCATCCGGGCAAGCCAGATTAGCTGAAGGGAACTGACCACTCCAAATCCGTGCACAAGCCTACTTTCCAGGTCTTACATAGCAAAGAGTCCATGAGGAATCTCCAACTTGAAGTTGTCCTCTGGCATAAACTTACTAGGTGACTTTTTGGCAAGACCTCTTTCAATTTCCCCTCCGTGTACATACCCCTCCGTGTTTTGAGAATAATATGAATTCCTTTTAGAGACTGTTGTAACAAGACTCTTTTTTTGTGCCCGGCAAAGACTTATTGATTTTCATGAACTTTGTACCATTGGAAGACATTTTCATTACTATGGCTTTTAACCTTGCATATTTTATGTATCTTTTTTCACTCTTATTGCAACAGTTGTAAGCCACACTCATCATTCTATATTAAACAACAGTATAAAAATCTGATTGAATAAATTGCAGCCATGTGCATGTATGTGGTGCACTCTAATCAGGTCTAACGACATGATAGAAATTCTAATCAGGTCTAATTACATCATATATTGTACAGATTAGTATTTCCTCTCACAGTAGTTTAGTTTTGGATCTCATTATTTGGCAAGAACCACGTCCTGGGCAGGGTGAGGCTCAGACATTATTATTTTTTTCAGTGAGTGTTTGCTTACTATTTCATCAGTGATTAACGCTTCATTATTTTCAGCTGCTTCAGCAAAGGATCACCGCCTTGTCGGGGCGCTGGAGCTTGAGCACCTCAATGATGTCATGAGCGAAACCGTGAAGGGCCACCCAAGACGGGACGGTTGTGGCAGAGTGGTCAGACCAAGCGTGATCCCTGGGGAAGGCAATGGCAAACCACTCCAGTATCCTTGCCAAGAAAACTAAATGGACCAGTACAACCAGAGATATGTCGGTATGCCATTGGAAGATGGACTCCCAGGTCGGAAGATGGCCAAAATGCTACTGGGGAGGAGCAGAGGATAAGTTCAACTAGCCCCAGATGTGATGACGCAGCTAGCTCAAAGCCGAAAGGAAGGCTAGCGGCCGACGGTACTGGAGGTGAACGACGAATCCGATGCTCTAAAGATCAACACACCATAGGAACCTGGAATGTAAGATCTATGAGCCAGGGCAAATTGGATGTTGTTATTGGCGAGATGTCAAGACTAAAGACAGACATTCTGGGGGTCAGCGAACTGAAGTGGACTGGAATGGGCCACTTCACATCAGATGACCACCAGATCTACTACTGCGGACAAGAGGAACATCGAAGAAATGGAGTAGCCTTCATAATTAATAAGAAATTCGCTAAAGCGGTGCTTGGATACAACCCAAAAAATGAGAGAATGATCTCAATTCGAGTGCAAGGAAAGCCTTTCAACATTACAGTGATCCAAATATACGCCCCAACCACAGCTGGTGAAGAAGCAGAAGTAGATCAGTTCTATGAGGATCTGCAGGACCTACTGGATAATACACCAAAAAGAGACATTATTTCATTACAGGAGACTGGAATGCCAAGGTGGGAAGTCAAATGACAACTGGGATCACAGGCAAGCATGGTCTGGGAGAACAAAAGGAAGCGGGACGCAGGCTGATAGAATTTTGCCAGGAAAACTCGCTGTGTATAACGAATACTCTCTTCCAACAACCTAAAAGACGGCTTTATACATGGACCTCACCAGATGGTCAACACCGAAATCAGATTGACTACATCCTTTGCAGCCAAAGGTGGCGGACATCCATCCAGCCGGTGAAAACAAGACCTGGGGCTGACTGTAGCTCAGATCACGAACTTCTTATTGCCAAATTTAGAATAAAACTAAAGAGATCAGGGAAAATACACAGACCAGTTAGATATGATCTCACTAACATTCCTAGCGAATATACAGTGGAAGTGAAGAACAGATTTGAAGGACTAGATTTAGTAAACAGAGTCCCAGAAGAACTATGGACAGAAGTCCGCGACATTGTTCAGGAGGCGGCAACAAAGTACGCCAAAGAAAAAGAAAACCAAGAAGGCAAAATGGTTGTCTGCTGAGACACTGGAAGTAGCCCAAGAAAGGAGGAAAGCAAAAGGAAACAGGGATAAGGGGAGATATGCCCAGTTAAATGCGCAATTCCAGAGGTTAGCCAGAAGAGATAAGGAACTATCTTTAAATAAGCAATGCATGGAAGTGGAAGAAGACAACAGAATAGGAAGGACAAGAGACCTCTTCCAGAAAATTAGAAACATTGGAGGTAAATTTCAGGCAAAAATTGGTATGATAAGAAACAAAGATGGCAGGGACCTAACAGAAGCTGAAGAGATAAAGAGAAGGTGGCGAGACTATACAGAAGATCTGTATAGGAAGGATAATAATATTGAGGATAGTTTTGACGGTGTGGTGAATGAATTAGAACCAGACATCCTGAGGAGTGAGGTTGAATGGGCCTTAAGAAGCATTGCTAACAACAAGGCAGCAGGAGACGACGGGATCCCAGCTGAACTGTTTAAAATCTTAAAAGATGATGCTGTCAAGGTGATGCATGCCATTTGCCAGCAAATATGGAAAACACAAGAATGGCCATCAGACTGGAAAAAATCAACTTATATCCCCATACCAAAAAAGGGAAATGCGAAAGACTGCTCAAACTTCCGTACAGTGGCCCTTATTTCTCATGCCAGTAAGGTAATGCTCAAGATCCTGCAAGGAAGACTCCAGCAATACATGGAGCGAGAGTTGCCAGATGTTCAAGCTGGGTCTAGAAAAGGCAGAGGAACGAGAGACCAGATTGCCAATATCCGCTGGATAATGGAGAAAGGCAGGGAGTTTCAGAAAAACATCTACTTCTGCTTCATTGACTATTCTAAAGCCTTTGACTGTGTGGATCATAATAAATTGTGGCAAGTTCTTAGTGGGATGGGCATCCCAAGCCACCTTGTCTCTCTCCTGAGGAATCTGTACAAGGACCAAGTAGCAACAGTCAGAACTGAACACGGAACAACAGACTGGTTCAAGATTGGGAAAGGCGTACGGCAAGGCTGCATCCTCTCACCCAACCTTTTTAACTTGTATGCAGAACACATCATGCGATGTGCGGGGCTTGAGGAATGCAAGGCTGGGGTGAAAATTGCTGGAAGAAACATTAACAACCTCAGATATGCAGATGACACCACTGATGGCCGAAAGCGAGGAGGAGCTGAGGAGCCTTCTAATCAAGGTGAAAGAAGAAAGCGCAAAAGCCGGGTTGCAGCTAAACGTCAAAAAAACCAAGATTATGGCAACAAGAATGATTGACAATTGGAAAATAGAGGGAGAAACCGTGGAGGCCGTGACAGACTTTGTATTTCTAGGTGCAAAGATTACTGCAGATGCAGACTGTAGCCAGGAAATCAGAAGACGCTTACTTCTTGGGAGGAGAGCAATGTCCAGTCTCGATAAAATAGTGAAGAGTAGAGACATCAGACTGACAACAAAGATCCGCCTAGTCAAAGCCATGGTATTCCCTGTAGTCACCTACAGATGTGAGAGCTGGACCTTAGGAAGGCTGAGCGAAGGAAGATCGATGCTTTTGAACTGTGGTGTTGGAGGAAAGTGCTGAGAGTGCCTTGGACTGCGAGAAGATCCAACCAGTCCATCCTCCAGGAAATAAAGCCCGACTGCTCACTGGAGGGCAAGATACTAGAGACAAAGTTGAAGTACTTTGGCCACATCATGAGGAGACAGGAAAGCCTAGAGAAGACAATTATGCGGGGAAAGTGGAAGGCAAAAGGAAGAGGGGCCGACCAAGGGCAAGATGGATGGATGGCATCCTTGAAGTGACTGGACTGACCTTGAGGGAGCTGGGGGTGGTAACGGCCGACAGGGAGCTCTGGCGTGGGCTGGTCCATGAGGTCACGAAGAGTCGGAGACGACTGAACGAATGAACAACAACAATTTTCAGCTGTCATGGAGTCTTGTCTTTTGTCATTCCTGAGAGTGTTTTGAAAGATCAGATTATGCTGTAAACAATCCTGTCCTCGCTGGTTGCTTTACATACTGGCTCTTGCCTCGGGGCTTCCATCGTGATTCAGTTTCTTCGTTGTTTTATAGTTATGTGTGTAAGACCTTGTAAATATTAATTTCTCTGGGTTTCTTTTTTTTCTTTCTCTTTTTGTAGCTATTGGATGAACTGCCCATGATCTACAGTTGTTGCATGTTTGTCTACTGCCTGTAAGTAATTATTACTAGTGTGTTTGCAGTATCTGAAACTGCTTAATGTATTTTACTGATATTATTTTATTTTGTTCACATGTCAGCAACCATCCTGTAGTCACCAATGTTCTCATAAATACTGAAGGTGTAATGTGGATAACAACAGTACTTGCATTCAGGTTGTCTTCTGTTATTACACCTGTTCTTGAAGGCTTTTTTCAAGGGACAATCAGCCATCTACCCTTATTTCTTCATAGTTCAAATCCAGAGTGCATAGATGGACTTCAGGGGATCTCCACCTTTTCTTTGCTTGTTGAACCTCCCGTAGAGCCCCTGGTAGCGCAGTGGGTTAAACCCCTGTGCTGGCAGGACCGAAGATCAACAGGTCACAGGTTGAAATCCGGGGAGAGCGTGGATGAGCTCCCTCTATCAGCTCCAGCTCCTCATGTGGGGACATGAGGGAAGCCTCCCACAATGATGATAAAACATCAAAAACATCAGGGCGTCCCCTGGGCAACGTCCTTGCAGATGGCCAATTCTCTCACACCAGAAGTAACTTGCAGTTTCTCAAATTGCTCCTGACACCAAAAAAACAAAACAAAACCCTCCCATATAGCATTGTCTTCCCTTGCCACCATCCCATAATGGTTTTGGAAGTATATCCAAAATAACTGGGTAGGACATTTATAGATGACTAGCCATCCCCTGCCACGCGTTGCTATGGCCCATTCTGGAAAAAAAAGTAATGGTTTCTAATATATGTAATGTCTTTCTGCTTGTTGGGAAACAATATTCCTTGTGTTTCTTTGTCAGTGTTGATGTGGAGAGTGTCTGGTTTGCCCACTCTGGAACATGCAACATATCATTGTCCTTCTTTAAGAGTTCCTTTCAAATCTATGACACTATATCTGTGTGTGTGTGAATCATATCTATCTATCTATCTATCTATCTATCTATGACTGGATGGCTCTTTGTCAGGAGGACTTTGATTGTGTTTTCTTGCCCTGATGAAGGGAGTTGGATTGGATGGCCTTAAGTATTTTCTGATAGTCATGGGGGTTCTGTGTGGGAAGTTTGCCCCGATTCTGTCGTTTGTGGGGTTCAGAATGCTCTTTGAGTGTTGGTGAACTCTGAATCCCAGTGACTACAACTCCCAAATGTCAAGGTCTATTTCCTTCAAACTCCATCTGTGTTCATATTTGGGCATATGGAATTTTTGTGTCAAGTTTGGTCCAGATCCATCATTTGAGTCCACAGTGCTCTCTGGATGTAGGTAAACTACAACTCCCAAAACTCAAGGTCAATGCCCACCAAACCCTTAGTATTTTCTGTTGGTCATGGGAGTCCTGTGTGCCAAGTTTGGTTCAATTCCATTCGTTGGTGACGTTCAGAATGCTCTTTGATTGTAGGTGAACTATAAATCCCAGCAAAACTACAACTCCCAAATGACAAAATCATATTTTTGTGTGATGGTCACTCCTTGTGTTGTGAGAGGTTTTGTTGCCAAATTTGGTGTGATTTTGTTCTTTGGTCCTTTTGTTTTTAAGGCACTCATTATGCACAGAGCATTTATATATATATAGATAGATATGTGAGTATACAGGAGGGTTCACTCATCCCTGAATTCTTAGATTTTCTTTTCTTTGTGGATAATTCTGTCAGTTTCAATTAGTCAAACTGGCTAAATGGAACCTCTGTATTTTAATGATACAGTTTACCTCTGAATGCCACTTGGCGAAAACTCATTGAGAGAGGTCAGTTGTTTTTGTGCTCTACTCATTCCTTCCTTGAGACATCTGGGTTGGTCATTGTGGAAAGCAGAAGGTGGATCCTCTGCCTGACTGTGAGAGCCATTCAGCAGTGGAACAGCAGTGTGGTGGAGGCTTCTTCTTTGGAGGCTTTTAAACAGAGGCTGGATGGCCATCTGTCAGGGGTGATTTGAATGCAATATTCCTGCTTCTTGGCAGGGGGTTGGACTGGATGGCCCATGAGGTCTCTTCCAACTCTTTGATTCTATGATTCTATGATCCATGAATGCCCCCTCCTCATTTGATTAGAGTGGGTTTATGAGTGCCCTCTTGAGCTTACATTATTCAGCACAACTTTGGCAATATCCTGCATTCTGATGCCACTGGGACTTAGCATATTTCAGTACCCAGAATAAGACAGAGATTGCTTTCATTCCTCCCCCGTGTAAGTGAGAAACTAGTTGTGTGGGGGTTGGTGGGCAGGGGAAAGTTTAATTTTCTAGGCTTCTAATTAGAAACCCAATTGTGATTGAAATGAAGCCTGTCTGTAATCTGAATTGCGTGTGTTGTGCAATTCTGCCAGAATGCAATCTGGCATTGCCTCACAGTGGTTTTGTGGTGTTTCCTGCCAACTCTATGTTTCTCTGTTCCAAGAGAGGGGCCAGGAAAGCCATTCCATGTTGCCTCTAGTGTCATCAGTTGGGACCCCCCCCCCCCCTCCCAGCACCAGCCACTGCTCTGAGATCAGAATGAAGAGAGGGGTCAGGAAAGCAGTTCCATCTTGTCTCCTGCACTGGGCTTATAATAAATATAATATAATATGACAGGAAAGCCTGGAGAAGACGATTATGCTGGGGAAAGTGGAAGGCAAAAGGAAGAGGGGCCGACCAAGGGCAAGATGGATGGATGGCATCCTTGAAGTGACTGGACTGACCTTGAAGGAGCTGGGGGTGGTGGCGGCCGACAGGGAGCTCTGGCGTGGGCTGGTCCATGAGGTCACGAAGAGTCGGAGACGACTGAACGAATGAACAACAACAAACAATTCATCAAAAACTATAATATTATAATGTAATACAATTTAATACTAGTACTAATAATAATAAATATTATAATTACATATTTTATATTACGTGTAATATTACTAATAATATTACAATATAATGGTGTAGTACTATAGCAATATATAATACTGATACTGTACTATGCTAATAATTTAATATATTGTATGCATATATATCTTGTAAGCCGCTCTGAGTTCCCCTCAGGGTGAGAAAGGCGGCATATAAATCTATATAAATAAAAATGTAATGTTTGTTTGTGGGATTAACATAACTCAAAAACCACTGGCTTTTTAAGTCCCTTTTCGAAACCTGGGGGTCAGGACTCATGGGGGAGTTGCAAGGGGGTTTCAGAGGGGTCACCAAAGACCATATATTTCTGATGGTCTTAGGAACCCCTTTGGCACAGAAGGCTGAAGACCTCTCCACCTGTCCTCTTCCTTTTTGGATACAGATGGCGAATCCTCCCACCAAAAACCCTCCTCCTCTGTGATTGGCTGGCCTCTCAGCCGACCTCTCAGCAAAGGGGAGGGCTGTTTCTGAGACTCCAAGTGGGGAGGAGAGAGCAGGCATTGCTCAGTGCATGGCAATGGTGTGCATGTGCGGACGAGGGAGACCATGTGAGACTGGAGGGAGGCTCATGCCACAGAATCCCTTCAAGGCATGGGGGTTCTGTGTGGGAAGTTTGGGCCAGTTCTATCGTTGGTAGGGTTCAGAATGTTCTTTGATTGTAGTTGAACTAGAAATCCCAACAATTACAGCTCCCAAAGTCTACTTTCCCCAAACTCCACCAGTGTTCACATTCGGGCATATTGAGTATTCATGCCAAGTTTGTTCCAGATCAGTCATTGTTTGAGTCCACAGTGCTCTCTGGATGTAGGTGAACTACAACTCCAGAACTCAAGGTCAATGCGCACCAAACCCTTCCAGTATTTTCTGTTGGTCATGGGAGTTCTGTGTGCCAAGTTTGGTTCAGTTCCATCATTGGTGGAGTTCAGAATGCTCTTTGATTGTAGGTGAACTATAAATCCCAGCAACTACAACTCCCAAATGACAAAATCAATCCCCTCCACAACTCCACTAGTATTCAAATTTGGGGGTATCAGGTATTTGTGCCAAATTTGGTCCAGCAAATGAAAATACATCCTGCATATCAGATATTTACATTACAATTCATAACATTAGCAAAATTACAGTTCTGGAGTAGCAGCAGCAAAAATAATTTTATGGTTGGGGGTCACCACAACATGAGGAGCTGTATTTAGGGATCGCGACGTTAGGAAGGTTGAGAAACACTGCCTTAGTAAATGAAAGATTTAATGCATTTCTTTGGTGACCTCTGTGTCTCATCACCTTCTCGTTTGTATCTCTTTCAGATATGAATGCTTCAAGTACAAGAATACAATCAACTACCCCCTCTTGTTTCTCCTAGTAGCCTACAGCATTGGCGTCACCATAGTAAGTAGTGTTGTTCTGTCTTGTATAAATTGTGTGTGTGATTTTTTAAAGAAGTGAGCTAGACTCCACTTTTTATAATTCACCCATGGCCTCTTCCATCTCAAAGTTGAAAAAAAACCCAAGGGCCATCCAGTCCAAGTCCCTTCTGCCTTGCAGGAACACACAACCAGAGCTTCCATGACAGATGGCCATGCAGCTTCTGTGTAAAAACCTCCAGAGAAGGAAACTCTATTTAAATCCAAACACTCCCACACATACAGTTTTAGGTGACTCAACAACACTGTAACTGTAGAAAGCAGAGAAAATTCCTTCTGTCTTTCAGTAAAGCAGCCTAAATATTGCAAAGGCACCAGATCCAGGAAGCTGTTCAGATTAGTACTTGGCTGGGTGACCACCAAAGAATGGCAGATGCTGTAGGCTATATTTCAGAGAAAGGAACTGGCAAAACCAGCTCTGACCATGCCTTGCCTCAGAAAACCTTTTTATTTATTTACTAGACGTCCCCTGCCATGCATTGATGTGGCCCAGTCTGTGTATATGTGTTTTGTGTGTGTGTATATTTGTGTATATGTGTATATATGTGGTTTTGCACATGCGTTGTGTATATATGTGTGTGCATGTATGTATGTGTATATATGTGTGTGTGTGCATGTGTGTGTGTATGTGTGTGTGTGTGTGTGTATATATAGGCTTTTTAATTCTCTTCCCTGTGTTTTTCAGTGTTTTTATGAGTGATGGTCACTCATTGCCCTGATAGGTGTATTATTTCCAAATTTGGTGTCAATTCATTTTATTTATTTATTTATTTATTTGCTGCATTTGTTGACCGCCGCTCTCAGCCCTAGGGCGACTCGCGGCGGTGTACAACATATAAAAACAGTTTACAATAGAGCACAACTAGAAAACAACATATCAATAATACACACTAATCTAAATTACACTAACTAATCCGCTCCGTCACATCAGAATCATAACCAATCTCATAATCCATATTCCGTTCCAGTTGTCATTACCAGTTAATGTAGCACTCAGTTAAATGCCTTCTCAAATAACCAGGTCTTTAGGCTCTTACGGAAAGCCATAAGGGAGGGCGCCTGTCTGATGTCAACAGGGAGGGTGTTCCACAGCCGGGGGGCCACCACCGAGAAGGCCCTCTCTCTCGTCCCCGCCAGACGTGCCTGTGAGGCAGGCGGGATCGAGAGAAGGGCCTCCCCAGACGATCTCAAGGCCCTCGTGGGCTCATAGGCCGAGATGCGGTCCGAAAGTATTCATCCAATTCATCCAATGGTTTTTGTGCTATGTTAATCCCACAAACGAACATTACATTTTTATTTATATAGATTGTGTCAAAGCGAATTGAGGGTACAGTTGTAATGTATTTAAAAACACAAACAAATTTAAAAACTTGACATTATACGAAATGTTATTTGACCAGTAGCTGGCCACTTGGAGTGCCTCTGGTGTCGCCGTGAGAAGGCCCTACATTGTAAATGTGGCAGGGCTCAGACTGCATTGTAGTGGGTGGTCTGTAGTTTGCTCTTCTCTGCACTTGCATGTTGTGGATTCTACTTTGTGGCCCCCTTTCTTAAGGTTAGCTCTGCATCTTGTGGTGCCAGAGCACAGCCTCTTCAGTGCCCTCCAAGTCACCCAGTCTTCTGTGTGCCCAGGAGGGAGTCTCTCATCCAGGAATATCAGCCATGGGTTGAGGTTCTGGGTATTAGCCTGCCATTTTTGGACTCTCACTTGCTGAGGTGTTCCTGTGAGTATCTCTGTAGATCTTAGAACGCTATTTCTTGATTTAAGGCATTGGCTTGCTGGCTGATATCCGAACAGAGGATGGACCAGACATGTCACTGCCTTGGTACTTTCATTATTGGCTGCTACTTCCCAGCAGATGTCAGGTGGTGCAATACTGTGATAATGTGGCATGTCTCATAAAGAGCCACATCCACTGTTTTAACGTGATGCAATGTGTTCCACACTGGGCATGCATATTCAGCAGCAGAGTAGCAAAGCGCAAGGGCAGACATCTTCACTGTGTCTGGTTGTAATCCCCAGGTTGTGCCTGTTAGCTTTCATATGATATTGTTTCTAGCACCTACTTTTTGCTTGATAGTCAAGCAGTGCTTCTTGTAATTCAGAGCACGGTCCAGAGTGACTCCCAAGTATTTTGGTGTGTTGCAGTAGGATTCCTTCCCAAGTCATCATCAGACCTCGAGATTCTTGTCTGTTCGTAAGATGAAAAGCACACGTCTGTGTTTAGATAGATTAGAAATCATCTGGTTTTTCCTGTAATAGGTGGTAAGAGCACTTAAAGCTTTAGAGAGCTTCTTTTCAAAGCTCCCTGCTTGGGCAGTGATGGCACGATCATCAGCATAGATCGGGCATCCTCAAACTGCGACCCTCCAGCTGTTTGGACCTCCAACTCCCAGAAGCCCTAATGAGCTTGTTCAGTTGTCAGGAATTCTGAGAGTTGAAGGCCCAAACAGCTGGAGGGCCGCAGTTTGATGATGCCTGGCATAGATGATACTCTCTGTCCCTCTGGCATAGAGAAAACATATGAAAGTCATTGTCATTAGTTGGCAGACAACTTGAAGACACACAGATGCATGCACACACATGAGAGAAGAAGATGCTATTGTAGTATCCGCTTTAGGGGAAATCTGCTCCCTCACAAGCAGAACAGAAATATCAGAAGCTCCACCAAATAGGCTGTAGTTGGCATTCCAACCTCAGCTAGCTAGAAACACTCCTTACAGCAGCCACAAACTCAGCTCCTCTGATTAGTGCTAATTCAGGAGACCTCTCAATTTGCATACCTAATGACTTTGAATATGTTGTAATGGTTTTTGATTGGGAATTTTTTAAATACTGTTTATATTTAATCCTGTTTTAATGTTTGCATATGTGTATATTTTAAATTGTATGTTAATGCTTTTTATGTTAAGCTGCTTTGAGTCTCTTTTGGGAGAGGTAAAGCAAGGTATAAATAAATATACTCATATTTACTCAAGTTTAATGCACCATCGAATCTAATGCGCACCTAAATTTTCAAAACCCTGAAACCTTAAAAAGTATTTACCATATTATGCAAATCTAATACGTACCCTAATTTTGGGGAGGTGATTTAGTAAAAAAAATGTGAGTGTTAAAATTGAGTAAATATGGCTATTATTATTATTATTATTATTATTATTTTAAAAATGTCTCAGGAGGAGCACAATGCCCACCTAGGGCTGGTTAAAAACTTCCATCTAGATTTGTATGTTTCCCCACCCACTGTACTTCACTCTTGGTGGAAAAACAGTGTGGAAAGGGATCAGATAACAAATCAGTAAATGTTGTTTCCCAAAGGTGTGTTCATTGTCATCTCAAGCATGCCTCCCTTTATTGCTAATGATAAAAAAGATCATGCTGCATGCATGCTGCAAATCTGGTTAAAAGAATGTGAGAATGGGTTGCTGTGAGTTTTCCGGGCTGTCTGGCCATGTTCCAGAAGCATTCTCCCTTGATGTTTTGCCTGCATCTATGGCAGGCATCATCAGAGGTTGTGAAGTCAGTTGGAAACTAGGCAAGTGGGGTTTATATATCAGTGGAATGTCCAGGGTGGGAGAAAGAACCCTTGTCTGTTTGAGGCAGGTGTGAATGTGATAATGGTATAGTAGTGCCCTCTACTGTAAGTAGCTATCCTCGCTCCCACTCGAGATGATTTGAAATGGTGAAGCAGGCAGTAGTGGATAAAATCATAGCCAAGCTTATTATAGTTCTCACGCCACAGTTTGGCCACTCATGATAAAACCAGTAAAATCCAGAAGAAATCAATGCTCATTGTTAAATCATCTGCTTTGGCTATAGATGATTGCAAATTCAATCCTCATTATCTCTAAGTAAGAAACTAGCTGATCACTGCTGATCACTGGAAACAGTACTGAACTGGAGAGACTAGTGGTATGATACTTTGTGAGGCAACTTCCATTTTGAATAGAAGCTTAATACATGGCATTCTTGCTTTGTTTTCTGCAGGTATACCTGAATTGGAAACAGCCTGTGTTTCACCAGGTAATTGTAATTTCTCATTGTAAGCATATGGAATGTAATAATACATTGTTGAACTTTTAACAGCATTCCTTAAGCAGCAGTTATGGGAAATGTAATTCTGCCGAATCTCCTTGCTGGTGGTGTTTGGCAATTATGGAATACATGCAGTCAGCATAGTTTTACATACAGATGCTTACATTTGTGGTGTTTACAAAACTAGATCTTCTTAGCATTCTCATCTAGAATACTATTTTTCTATTAATTTCAGAACTTCCTTTAACAGTAGAGTTGCCAGGTTCTTCCTTAAGCACTGTCCTTTATTTGAAGATTGCAACACTTCTTCTTTTATATAGAATAAACAAGATGTCAAAACTTGCCATATTTTGGGGTGTGGGCCCAATGTGGCCTTGCGTGATTCATGATGTGGACAAGGAGATCTGTTCCTTTTGATGGTGTTAAGTTGAATTGTTGTTGAGCAAGACCATCCCATGGTTAGGAAGAAGCTACTAACTATTCTTGCATCAACTTCTCAAGGCAGATTTAGAAGCTTTAATGGCAAGGAGACATGATGTCTAATTACTATATAACAAAATCTCTTAAGTAAATTCCAAGCTTGCAGCATTATGTCTTTACGGCAGTTGTTCAAAATTCTTACCTTGATAGAATAAGAGTAAAAAACATTTCACTATTTCCCCCACTATTACCAAGGATTCTGGATACATTAGGACATGACTATATTAAGACATCTCAATCTGGCACCTTCCACAAGTATTGGATTAAATCTCCAGACATCTGCAGCTGGTGTGAGGGTGCCATTTTGAGGAAGGTTGGTACAATGTAACCCATAAATCAGGGTGGACAGCTGTAGTGTTCCAGATGTTTTTCCCCTGAAATATCCATCAACTGTAGCTAGTATAGCTATAACATTGCCACGAATTCTGGAAGCTGCCCTTAGATGCCTTCCTATGTCCCCGAAGGGCATAGAGAGCAATTTTGATATGTTCTCTCCTCCCCTCTCTTTTTAGGCCCAGGAAAAGCCCTTTTCCCTACAGAAAGTGATGTACAAATCAACCTAGAACAGTGGTTCTCAACCTGTGGGTCCTTAGGTGTTTTGGCCTACACCTCTCAGAAATCCCAGCCACTTTACTATCTGTTAGGATTTCTGGGAGTTGAAGGCCAAAACATCTGGGGATCCACAGGTTGAGAACCACCGATTTGAGAGGAGGATTTGAGAGTTTTGTTTGTTTTCACTTTAATACAGCCTTCCCCTGTGTGGCAGTATCCATATGTGATTAACTGCTGTGGTCATTATATTCCTAGCTTGGGTTTTGGAGGGCATTTATTGCACTGAAACAACACCAGGTTAAGGAAGGATTGATACAATGCCAGCCAGATATCAACAAGATGCTTACATTGTTCTTACCAGTCTATTTTTGTGGACTTTTTAATGCATTAGCAGTTCTGGTTTTGCAGGGTTTGTTGTCAAAGTGGAACCATAAGGCTGTCATTAGATGCTGTCTTTTATTCTATTGGGAAACAAAGAGGAGAAATATAGTGAGGCAGAAGACAAAACCTGACAAGTTTAACTAATTGAAGAGCATATAAATGACAGAGAAAAGATGAAGTACAAACAAAAAATAATCCTGGAAAATAGTTTATCTGGCTCTATGACAGGCAGTGAAGTATTATCTTAACAGTCTGCTCCAAGGACCCCATAGATTCTAGAATAACTTTGAGATTATGGGGTTTATTGAGTTAGTGGGGTTTTGTAAACAAAATTAATCACATGTGGAAATAGAAATGAGAGGTCATCGCTGTATATTACTGTCACAGATACACATTGTTTCAGAGGAGGATCCACATCAATATATTCCCTTTTATCTTCCCCTGCTCCTCTTATCGTGGCTTCTTTTTCTTTTTGTTTCATGAAGGAGTTTCAGAGCAATATGCAATTAAATTTTAAATAGTTAATGTTTCTGTTCAGGGATGGGCATCCAATGTTAAGCCCAAGCTGCTAAGAGCTACCCACAATTGGTCCCCAAAATGCATTGTCCCAAAAAATCATTTTGGGTAGCTTCTTGAAGTCTGGTCTAAAACCTTTCTTGCTGAAAAGAGAGCCATCAGCTGCTCATAAATATGTCAACCCAATGTGGAATAGCTTTCACACAAGGAAACACATCACTGGGTCAACTTGGAGGAAAGGGGGTTGGCAGGGGGTTGGACTGGATGGCCCATGAGGTCTCTTCCAATTCTTTGATTCTATGATTCTATGAAAGGAGCACGATGTTTTGTGCAGTCTGCTAGAGATAAAAAATTAACACCCCTTTCCTCTACTCCACAGGTTATGTATGGAACATTAGTGGCTGTTTTAGTTCTACGTTCTGTGTATATAGTGTTGTGGTAAGTAACAAATTAACTGTGCAATAGTGGCTTGGGCTTGCAACTCAGCAGCATCGGATTCTTGTCAGAATGTCACCCATTCCTGTTTTAGATTAAGCAGAATAAATGACGCAAATGACCAGAAATAGCATTATGATAGCATGGGATGCATCACACTGGTGAATTTGAACTCAGCTGACTTTGAAAGGATAGATAGTACATTAGGCCTATTTGTATTCATGTATTATCACTGCACGTGGATGTGAGAGCCCAACTTCAATAGCATTGAAGTAGGAACTCAAAATCAGTTTTCTGAGTTGTTGTCTGTATGAATGGCTTTCTGTGTACATTGTAATTTTACTTCTGTGTGAGCACTTTATAATCCTGCAGAATGTCAATGCCAACATTGCCAGTGACATTCTGGGAATTGGAATCAGAATAAATAACTTTCTCAAGTTCCATAATAATTAGCACGGTGTTCTTTTCCCACCCTAGTATTAGCAAAGAATATGAATAAATATAACAAACCGCCACAGAAAGTCCTTTGATGTACTTAAGATTTTATCCTGCCTCTCCTCTTTTTCTCTAGGGTATATCCATGGCTCAGAGGACTGGGCTATACATCTCTGACTGTATTTCTGCTGGGCTTTTTCCTTTGGAATGTAGACAATATATTCTGCGACAAACTGAGGTAGGTGAATAATCTTATACATATATCCTCCTACCTTACAGAATTGAAACCTAAGACCTGTTGATCAAGTAGGCTCTCCTTGAGCCTATTACCTCCATTAAATAGTCATAATGTAGTAGCATTTCTCCATTTGGAGAAATGCTGTTGGTCAAACAGGAGTGAAGTAGAGTTCTAATGTCTCACTGGGGAAAGTACTGCTGTTGAAGATAAAAAAGCTAATACTATTCCTGTAATAGGGAGTGAACTAAAATCTGTTTCTTTAGGGCCAGACAATTCCTTTCAATGTCAAATTAACTTATAGTTGAAAAGCAGCCATGCTTTTCTAGCAATACTTCATGAAAGCCAAGATTTCTCAAAAGTAATTGAGGAGTCAAGGGGCTTTACTGGCTCCTTTTCTGAAATAGTGTGTTGACTTTCCCCTAAGCTTGCAGCTTGTTGAAGGTCACCTTTTGATCACAGTAATGCTTCAGGGTAGAATTCAAAGACAGACGTGTTATCCTGGAGTTGTATGCAAAGGCATACTGTAGCGCCTCTGAAACTAATTGAGATAAAGTCTGTAGCATAAGCTTTCATAGACTGAGTCTACTTCATCAGATGCATAGAGTGAAGTGCCTATGGAAAGACATTTATACACATGAATGAGTGGGTTGTGRGTCATGCAAAGTCTGTGAGTAATATGATGGGGAGACAAGTTGGGGGACAGGGTGGRAGAAGAGATGTTCACTAAAGCCAAGATGAGTAGAAACCCATATGARTAGTGAAGTGAGTTCTTGGATTGTAGAMTGTTGCTTGGATTGTAGAATGAAAGTCAGGTTGGACTGCCTAATTAGCAGTTAGATAGGAGATTTAYGTTCCACCAACAAAGGGCTTTTCAGAAGAGTGTACGAAGATCAAGATGATTGTTAGYAAAGAAGTCCTTATCCGTTTCCCAGGGGAGAAGGCATGATTTTTTTATATTAGCTAGCCCAATAGATTGGTCAGTTAGTCCAGGCAACATTGATGATTGAGTATAGATCTATTGTGGAGTCAAGGGATTTCTAGTTCCATGTTCATACCTCATGATTCCAAATTTTGAAGACTGTTCCTGAGACTCATGTTTCGGATGTATTCTGCTTTTGTTTTCCTGGTTTTTAATGCTACTCCTATGCTTTGATTTCTGGGGATTATTCCTGATATTTAGACTTTGATTTTTTTATACTGTTGTGCTAAATTGCTTTAGACACACACACGCACACATTCTTCAATAAACTGCTTTGCTATTTTGCCTTGAACTGGAGTGTGAACTGCAATGCACTCTATGTAGGGCTGCCTTTGAAGACTACCCGGAAGCTTCAACTAGTCTAACCGTCGGAAGCCAGGTTGCTCACTGGAGCGACGTACAGGGAACATACAACTCCTTTGTTACACCCAACTCCACTGGCTGCCAATCAGCTTCCAAGCACAATTCAAAGTGCTGGTTTTAACCTTTAAAGCCCTAAACGGTTCTGGCCCAGACTATCTGTCCCAACGTATCTCATCCCACAAACCATCAAGATTATCGCAAACACGGTTGGTGGGGATGAGAGGCAGGGCCTTCTCGGCAGTGGCCCCCCGTCTGTGGAACTCTCTCCCTAGGGACATCAGATTGGCCACCCCCTCTTGCCCTTTAGAAGACAAGTGAAGACTTGGCTCTGGGACCAGGTGTTTGATTAATTGAATAGCAGCAATTGGAAAAAAGACTTAGGATTATTTACAAAATTGAATCTACCCCGATTTGGTTTTACCGGCATGTGTAATCTACTGTCTAATGAATTGTATAATGTGTTTCAATGATTTTTAAGGTTTTAATGTTTTTTAATGCTTTAATTCTACTTGACAGCGTTGTATGATGCTTGTGTGAGGCTGCACAGAGGTGATTTCCAGCCTTTGAGTGCAACAATGTCATTAAAATGTATTTTTTTAAAATCCAATGCTTAAAAAAGAAAGGAATAAAGGTGGAATTCATATTGCCGGTACCTCTCAACTAGAGGCTGAAAAGAATAATACTCAGATTTATAATTGACTGGCCTAGTGCAGTGTCTTCCAGTTGTGTTGGGCTACATCTCCCATAACTCCCATTCTAGTGAGGGGGGAGATGTTAAAGCCTGATAACTAGAGGGCACGAAGCTGGCAAATTGGTCTTAATTGGTCCACTTGGTTATTTTTTCCTCTGTCCACAGGGGTTTACGTGAGCGGCTGCCTCCACTTGTGAGTGTCGTGACACAGTTTCATGCTTGGTGGCACATATTTACAGGTCTCGGCTCCTACCTTCATATCTTGTTCAGGTATGATAATCTCCCCTACCTATGAGAATGGAGTGACTTCTGATCTATGCTGTGCCGGTTGCATGCGGGGCTCTCCAGAATATCTCAAAACCCAGAAACATATTGAGGAGGGGGCAGATTTGTTTTCTGCTGCTCTGGAGACTAAGTCACGAAACAATGGATTCAAACTGCAGGAAAAGAGATTATACCTAAACATTAGGAAGAACTTGGCTAATGTGATTTTAATGCTTTTATTACGTGTTTTAATTCTTATATTTCGTATTTTAAATGTCCTTTTTTCTTATCTTACGGTGAATTGTCCTATTGAGTTTATACTAATTATATGTTGTTAATTGAGTTTTGATTTATGTATGTAAGGCAGTGTTTCTCAACCTGGGGGTCCATTATGTTTTCTTGCTTTGCTGAAGGGAGTTGGACTGGATGGCCTTAAGGCAGCATTTCTCAACCTGGGGGTCCAGACTCCTGGGGGGGTCACAAGGGGGGGGGTCTGTAGGGTCACTAAAAACACAGTATTTTCTCTTGGTCATGGGGTTCTGTGTGGGAAGTTTGGCCAATTCTATCATTGGTGGAGTTCAGAATGCTCTTTGATTGTAGGCGAACTATAAATCCCAGCAACTACAACTTTTGGAGGAGCCTGAAAACGTGGTTGTTCCAGTGTGCCTTCCCAGAATAAGGAAACTCCCAGCAATATGTCCTCTAAATGCACTTTATTGATCTAGGAGTATCTGCACGCCCATCCCTCTCTGAAAACTATCCTAGTCATATTTCACCAGTTCATGCTCAGCATTATTTTAAAATTTTAATTACTACATTTGGCCCAGCCATAGGTTTTTAAACGTCGTTGTGTTACTGTTAATGTTTATTGCTTATTTTCTGTTATGAGTTTTATTTTTATTGTTTTGTATGACTTGTTATTGTTTTTATTGTTGATGTATTGTGGGCTCAGCTTCATGTAAGCTGCACCGAGTCCCTTGGGGACTTATTATTATTATTATTATTATTATTCCCAAATGTCAAGGTCTATTTTCCCCAAAATCCACCAGTGTTCATATGTGTTCATATCAGATATTTGTGCCAAATTTGGTCCAGTATCAGATATTTGCATTGCAATTCATAACGGTAGCAAAATTACAGTTATGAAGTGGCATCGAAAATAATTTAATGGTTCGGGGCTGCCACAATATGAGGAACTGTATTAAGGGGTCGTGGCATTAGGAAGGTTGAGAACCACTGATGTAAGGCATTCAATTTTGCCGTTATTTTTGTGTAAGCTGCTTTGAGTCCCCCCAGGGGTGAGAAAAGTGGTATATAAATACTGTAAATAAGTAAGTCAATAAGTAAATAAATAAATAATGTATTTTCTATATTTGTATGCCGCCCCTCTCAGCCCGCAGGTGACTTGAGGCAGTTCACAAGGCAACAGTTCAATGCCAACAAATCATAAAACCATTTAAAAGCATTGACATATCAATTAAGACCATAACAGTTAGTAAAAACCAATCATTTCGTCTCCTAGATAAAAACTTCCTGACTGTAAGAACTGTTTGGCAGTGGGATATTCTGCTTTGGAGTGTGGAGGAGTCTCCTTCTCTGGAGATATTTAAGCATAGGCTGACTCACTACTTGTTGGGAGTTATTATTATTTATTATTATTATTTACTTCATTTGTATACCGCTCTTCTCAGCCCTTAGGCGGCTCAGAGTGGTTAGCAACAACAGTTCCAGTATACACAGTACAAACTCATTGTACATTTAAAAACAGTAGCATAACAATTAATTAAACACCAAACATCAATACATCAGTGTAACAAATCCATCACGTCTCATCAGTAGAATCAGAATCCAGTCTCATTATCCATGATTCTGTGTTCCAATAATCAATTACACTGCCTAGTTGAATGCCTGTTCGAACAGCCAGGTCTTCACTCTCCTCCGGAATGCCAATAGGGAGGGGGCCGATCTGATATCTGTAGGAAGGGCATTCCACAGCCGAGGGGCCACCACTGAGAAGGCCCTGTCTCTCGTCTCCGCCAGGTGTGCTTGTGAAGCTGGCAGGACCGAGAGGAGGGCCTCCCCAGACGATCTTAATGTCCTAATGTCCTGTTCTTTTATTGTGTGTTTCTGAATGGCAGGAGGTTGGACTTGCATGACTGTTGTAGTCTCTTCCAATTCAATAATTCTGTGATTCAGACTTTTTGACTCTAAACTATGTGATCAAGAATGCTTGTTTTAATCTTTTCCCTTTCTTTCTCCCTCTGCTTCTAGCTTATATTCAAGGACACTATACCTGAAGTACAGGCCGAAGGTTAAGGTAAGTGTTTGGAACTTCTAGAATAACTTCTCGTATGGCAGAGAACAACCTTTCTTGTAGCTAGGGCTTCATAGAACAAACTATACATAGTGGTAGTGACACATGTTTTCTTTTTGATTTTTTTTATTGTAGAAAAAAACAAAAGCTACGTTTTACATAAAACCTGTACTGTCAATATAACACTGAGAAGAAGATATAAGGGTGCATTGGATTCTGAACTCTTATTATTTTGTTAATAGTTTTATATATTTGCATATCATTTATTATTACCATTCCTAAACATTATAAACAATGTTCATTTATCCAATAAATTTATGATTTATTGAGAAATGTTTGTGGCCCTGCTTGAGTTATTTTGTAGTATTAATTTTGTCATAAATATATCCATCCAAATCTTTCGGAAACTGAGGAAAGCCATAAGCTTTCCCAGTTATTTGCCACACGTTGCCTTGAGCTTAGTTAAAAAGGTATATTAGAAGTTCCAAATCTCATTCGTCAATCAATTGAATAAGCCAGCATTCAAAAGGAATTCATTATCAGAGATTGAACTAGTCAACACTCAAGCAGTTCTGATCAGTGGCTATGATTGCATTATATAAAAGAGAGCAGCATGTTTTGATCCAGAGTACCCAGAGTGCATCTAGAATATAGAATTCATATGGTTTAACTCCCAGACATGAAACAACCAGAGCCAGCTAACACCTTCCAACAAAGGATTCTCCCAGGCCGGAATCAGCCAGGCATTGAAGCTGCAAGACTTCGAGATTTTTTATGGCCTTGTAAATCAGTTAATTTAACCTCCCCACAAAGTGGTACCTAATTTTCCTACTTGACAGATGCAACTTATTTTTGGGTTGCAAAGGTTGACAACAAGCTACACTTTTGGTCGGGAGCTCACTCCGAGCTGGGCTGGCTTCAAACTCATGACCTTTCAGTCAGTAGTGATCTTAATGCAGCTGACTCCCAGCCAGCTGCGCCACAGTCCCAGTCATAATTTCCATACCTCTTGGTTTTCCTATAGCCATTATTCAGATTGCTAGATTGAGGTCGAATTCCATGTTTCCCTATTCCCCTAATGCCGGTGTACAAAGCCAGAACTTTAGCATGAGGGGTGAGGTCAGTCTAATGTCACTGGAGAGGGAGTTCCACAGCCGAGGGGCCAACACTGAAAAGGCCCTGTCTCTCCTCCCCACCAGTTGCACTTGTGAAGGAGGTGGAACTGAGAGCAGGGCTTCCCCAGCAGATCTTAAAGCTCCAGTTGACTCATAAAGGGAGATAGTTTTTCTCCAGCACAATTGTTTGCTTACTATGTGAACATAATCAGTGCAAAGACATAGAATTCGTCAAACTACATTTTGAAAAAGTGACTTTTGACATCTTTGGTAGTTGCCCTGCTTTGAAAAACCCTTTTGCAGAAGCACTTTTTAACCATGACAGGAAATCAAGTTCTTAAACAAGAGTGAAGAAGGTGTGCCCCAGAGCCATCATTCTGCCCTCTCTCTATCTGCACTCAAATATCTTCCAGTAAACCTTAGGTGACAATTTAAGTTCAGATAGTGCCTTCTTCCCCACTTTCAGGGGAAAGAAAAAGGCTTCTTGTAACTTAAAATTGCCTACAAAAAGGGCCCAAGTGCATAGTGCCTCCTAGATCTTCTTCTGGTGTTTGCAACCGAAATAAGGGCGTGAAGTCCTCCAAGGTCTCCTGGGGAGGTCAGCGCGGTTCCCATCCTCCAGCAGTTCCCCATCCAAACTCTTTTTTAAAAGAAGGCCATAATCTTCATCTGGACAGAAGTTGGTTGAATTACAAGATATTTTTTCATGACCAGGATTGTGCCAATTCCAGCATTGTTCAGGCTCTCCTGAGGTAGCTATTCACATTTAAAAACAAACAGCATTCATACATCTAACGTCCCAGCTGCTTTGGCTCTTCAAAACCTAATCCTAACAACATAAGAGCATTTTTAAAAGACTCTTAAAGCAACAGAAAAGAAAAGAACAACTATAGGTTGCTGTTCATTCTTGCAGACTTTCATAAGACCAGCCTAAAAGGTATAACAAATTAATGAAGGCATGCATACTGGACAAAAGTTACATGTGAAAATGTTTATTTCCTCCTTTATAGCTTTGGAGATAGCGTTATGGTTATAATTTTATTTCAAGTGGGTTAGCACTGGTGATAAAGCTGGCTGTAGATATTAGAATGATAACAACATCATCCCAAGATGAAGAGCAGTTAGATCAGGCATGCACAGACCTTGTGGGCAATCCAGTCCAACCCCCTCTCAAGAAGCAGGAAAACTGCTTTCAAAGCACCCCCGACAGATGACCATCCAACCTCTGCTTAAAAACCTCCAAAGAAGGCGCCTCCACCACACTCCGGAGCAGAGAGTTCCACCGCTGAATAGCTCTCACAGTCAGGAAGTTCTTCCTAATGTTCAGGTAGAATCTCCTTTCCTGTAATTTGAAGCCATTTTTCCAAATCCTAGTCTCCAGCGAAGCAGAAAACAAGCTTGCTCCCTCCTCCCTATGACTTCCCCTCACATATTTATACATGGGCATCATGTCTCCTCTCAGCCTTCTCTTCTGCAGGCTAAACATGCCCAGCTCTTTAAGCCCCTTCTCACAGGGCTTGTTCTCCAGACCCTTAATCACATCCAACTTAGAGTTAACATCTCCCTTCCAATTGTGGTGCCCAGAATTGGACACAGTGTGATGATGATGATGATGATGATGAAGATGATGATGATGATGATGATGATGATGATGATGATGATGATAAACAATTTTATTTATATGCTGCTCTATCTCCCCGAGGGGGACTCAGGCCAGTTTCCAAATAACATCACCGAAACATACAAAGTAAATAGCATAACATAAAATTAACAAAACAACATAAGCATAAAATTACCACAATAACACATGTATATTAAAAATAATCCTGCCTGTTCAGAGCAATTAAAAAGCCAGGCCAAGGCTAGTGCAAACTCTAAATATGAGGGGGGCGGGAATTAAGTACAGTGCTATAACAGGCTAATGGTGTGATCTTACCAAGGCAGAATCGAGGGATAGCATGACTTCCCTGGATCTAGACACTATGCTCCTATTGATGCTGGCCAAAATCCCATTGGCTTTTTTTTTTGCCACCGCATGACATTGTTGGCTCATGTTTAACTTGTTGTCCACGAGGACTCCAAGATCTTTTTATAACACATCATACATGTGATAAAGCAGGATTTTGAAAATGCAAAAATTTACTCAATGCTATGACAAAGTACCAAAAAGCCCCCCAAAATGGACCAGCTGCCAAGATCTTGCTATTCTTTCATGAAATCTAGAGTCTTCAAAGGAAGAGAATAGACAGTCACAGCAATTCAAGGATACTGTTGAACACAGTCACTGCACAACATTGGGGGTATCTCTAGGGTTCATGATCAAAACTTTTATTACGTGTTGCAGAATGTATTGGAATTGTGCCATAGGCCAATTTTATTTTGAAGGGAAATATGTCACAGTCTTGTTTTATTTTGAATTACAAAAGTAAATAACACAAACTCACAGGTGCACACCTTTTTGGTACCTTTGTTATTGGGTGAGGTCAGAATATCTACCTTTAGCTCTATAGCAATGGTTCTCAACCTGTGGGCTTCCAGGAGTTTTGGCCTACAACTCCCCGAAATCCCAGCCAGTTTACCAGCTGTTAGGATTTCTGGGAGTTGAAGGCCAAAATATCTGGGGACCCACAGGTTGAGAACCACTGCTCTATAGTATAAAAACCAGAACTACTTTGTATCTAATTAGTACTCTAATTAGTAGTACTATGTTTATGGCCACAGGACCTTCGCAAAAGTGGAAAAAAACACAGTAGGTCCAACAGTGTGAGTCTGTGGTGAGTCTTTGATGGAAGTCATGCTGGAGGTCCTAGAGCAGTGTTTCTCAACCTGTGGATTCCCAGGTGTTTTGGCCAACAACTCCAGAAATCCCAGCCAGTTTACCAGCTGTTAGGATTTCTCAGAGTTGAAGACAAAAACATTTGGGGACCCACAGGTTGAGAACCACTGGACTAGAGATTCCTAGAGAAAAACAAATTAATCAGATCCACAAATAGTTAAACCCACAAATGTGTTCTACAGTTGTGAATTCCTAGAATTTGAGAAGTTGAGATCCAAGTACTTCAGTGGCTATGTGTGTATTATGGTTCATGCCAACTTCAAGCAAATGAATGATCACAAACTTCAATATCAGCATCTTTTTCCTGAACATGTCAGAACTTCTAGCAGCTCTTAGCTCTTCCCTGTTTTCTGTTTTAAAATAAACCAAGAGCGGTCTTAGTCATATGTTGTGAAATAGGGTTGGATATGTTCAGTCCTTTTGGCTGTTCAGCAATCATTTGAATATTATGTGAAGAAAGATTTAACAAATACAGAGAGAGAAGTGCAAGAGTAATTCTTCATTGAATATGGAACAACTCCAGACTATAAACACTCCATACATTTGAGACATTGACTATTTGTTGCCAACATGGTGTCCTGAGATGTTGTTAAGCAACTTTTAATGTGAATATAAATGATTTTCTCCAGCAAAGGATCACCGCCTTGTCGGGGCGCTGGAGCTTGAGCACCTCAATGATGTCATGAGCGAAACCGTGAAGGGACACCCAAGACGGGACGGTTGTGGCAGAGAGGTCAGACCAAGCGTGATCCCTGGGGAAGGCAATGGCAAACCACTCCAGTATCCTTGCCAAGAAAACTAAATGGACCAGTACAACGAGAGATATGTCGGTATGCCATTGGAAGATGGGACTCCCAGGTCGGAAGATGGCCAAAATGCTACTGGGGAGGAGCAGAGGATAAGTTCAACTAGCCCCAGATGTGATGACGCAGCTAGCTCAAAGCCGAAAGGAAGGCTAGCGGCCGACGGTATTGGAGGTGAACGACGAATCCGATGCTCTAAAGATCAACACACCATAGGAACCTGGAATGTAAGATCTATGAGCCAGGGCAAATTGGATGTTGTTATTGGCGAGATGTCAGGACTAAAGATAGACATTCTGGGGGTCAGCGAACTGAAGTGGACTGGAATGGGCCACTTCACATCAGATGACCACCAGATCTACTACTGCGGACAAGAGGAACATCAAAGAAATGGAGTAGCCTTCATAATTAATAAGAAATTCGCTAAAGCGGTGCTTGGATACAACCCAAAAAATGACAGAATGATCTCAATTCGAGTGCAAGGAACGCCTTTCAACATTACAGTGATCCAAATATACGCCCCAACCACAGCTGCTGAAGAAGCAGAAGTAGATCAGTTCTATGAGGATCTGCAGGACCTACTGGATAATACACCAAAAAGAGACATTATTTTCATTACAGGAGACTGGAATGCCAAGGTGGGAAGTCAAATGACAACAGGGATCACAGGCAAGCATGGTCTGGGAGAACAAAATGAAGCGGGACGCAGGCTGATAGAATTTTGCCAGGAAAACTCGCTGTGTATAACGAATACTCTCTTCCAACAACCTAAAAGACGGCTTTATACATGGACCACACCAGATGGTCAACACCGAAATCAGATTGACTACATCCTTTGCAGCCAAAGGTGGCGGACATCCATCCAGTCGGTGAAAACAAGACCTGGGGCTGACTGTAGCTCAGATCACGAACTTCTTATTGCTCAATTTAGAATAAAACTACAGAGATCAGGGAAAATACACAGACCAGTTAGATATGATCTCACTAACATTCCTAGCGAATATACAGTGGAAGTGAAGAACAGATTTGAAGGACTAGATTTAGTAAACAGAGTCCCAGAAGAACTATGGACAGAAGTCCGACATTGTTCAGGAGGCGGCAACAAAGTACGTCCCAAAGAAAAAGAAAACCAAGAAGGCAAAATGGTTGTCTGCTGAGACACGGGAAGTAGCCCAAGAAAGGAGGAAAGCAAAAGGAAACAGGGATAAGGGGAGATATGCCCAGTTAAATGCGCAATTCCAGAGGTTAGCCAGAAGAGATAAGGAACTATTTAAATAAGCAATGCATGGAAGTGGAAGAAGACAACAGAATAGGAAGGACAAGAGACCCCTTCCAGAAAATTAGAAACATTGGAGGTAAATTTCAGGCAAAAATTGGTATGATAAGAAACAAAGATGGCAGGGACCTAACAGAAGCTGAAGAGATCAAGAGAAGGTGGCGAGACTATACAAAAGATCTGTATAGGAAGGATAATAATATTGAGGATAGTTTTGACGGTGTGGTGAATGAATTAGAACCAGACATCCTGAGGAGTGAGGTTGAATGGGCCTTAAGAAGCATTGCTAACAACAAGGGAGCAGGAGACGATGGGATCCCAGCTGAACTGTTTAAAATCTTAAAAGATGATGCTGTCAAGGTGATGCATGCCATATGCCGGCAAATATGGAAAACACAAGAATGGCCATCAGACTGGAAAAAATCAACTTATATCCCCATACCAAAAAAGGGAAATGCGAAAGACTGCTCAACTTCCGTACAGTGGCCCTTATTTCTCATGCCAGTAAGGTAATGCTCAAGATCCTGCAAGGAAGACTCCCGCAATACATGGAGCGAGAGTTGCCAGATGTTCAAGCTGGGTTTAGAAAAGGCAGAGGAACGAGAGACCAGATTGCCAATATCCGCTGGATAATGGAGAAAGGCAGGGAGTTTCAGAAAAACATCTACTTTCTGCTTCATTGACTATTCTAAAGCCTTTGACTGTGTGGATCATAATAAATAGTGGCAAGTTCTTGGTGGGATGGGCATCCCAAGCCACCTTGTCTCTCTCCTGAGGAATCTGTACAAGGACCAAGTAGCAACAGTCAGAACTGACCACGGAACAACAGACTGGTTCAAGATTGGGAAAGGCGAACGGCAAGGCTGCATCCTCTCACCCAACCTTTTTAACTTGTATGCAGAACACATCATGCGATGTGCGGGGCTTGATGAATGCAAGGCTGGGGTGAAAATTGCTGGAAGAAACATTAACAACCTTAGATATGCAGATGACACCACTCTGATGGCCGAAAGCGAGGAGGAGCTGAGGAGCCTTCTAATCAAGGTGAAAGAAGAAAGCGCAAAAGCCGGGTTGCAGCTAAACGTCAAAAAAACCAAGATTATGGCAAAAAGAATGATTGACAACTGGAAAATAGAAGGAGAAACCGTGGAGGCCGTGACAGACTTCGTATTTCTAGGGGCAAAGATTACTGCAGATGCAGACTGTAGCCAGGAAATCAGAAGACGCTTACTTCTTGGGAGGAGAGCAATGTCCAGTCTCGATAAAATAGTGAAGAGTAGAGACATCAGACTGGCAACAAAGATCCGCCTAGTCAAAGCCATGGTATTCCCTGTAGTCACCTACGGATGTGAGAGCTGGACCTTAGGGAAGGCTGAGCAAAGGAAGATCGATGCTTTTGAACTGTGGTGTTGGAGGAAAGTGCTGAGAGTGCCTTGGACTGCGAGAAGATCCAACCAGTCCATCCTCCAGGAAATAAAGCCCGACTGCTCACTGGAGGGAAAGATACTAGAGACAAAGTTGAAGAACTTTGGCCACATCATGAGGAGACAGGAAAGCCTAGAGAAGTCAATTATGCTGGGGAAAGTGGAAGGCAAAAGGAAGAGGGGCCGACCAAGGGCAAGATGGATGGATGGCATCCTTGAAGTGACTGGACTGACCTTGAAGGAGCTGGGGGTGGTGACGGCCGACAGGGAGCTCTGGCGTGGGCTGGTCCATGAGGTCACGAAGAGTCGGAGATGACTGAACGAATGAACAACACAACCTGGAAGATTGCATATTACGAGGGGTATTTTTTAAGTAAGGTCTGTTTTGTTGTAGACAATAGTAGTTTGCGTTCATACCGCAACGAGCGCGTGCGTCGTGTACCGGCATGCCTCGGGAACAACTGTGCTCAGTTTCCGCTCTGTAGCTAACCTGTACAGTTCTGTTCTGTGCTTTAAAAATGTTTAAGACTATCAACTCACCCGCCGCATGTGAGGTTCGCTCAGTGATATGGTTTTTGTCAGCAAGGAACCTGCCTGCTGCAGAAATTCATCGACAGATTTGTGAAGTGTACGGTGATACTGTTATGAGTGAAAGCAAAGTGCATAAGTGGGTACAACAATTCAAAGATGGCCATGACAACATCCATGATGAGGACCGCTCTGGTCGCCCTTCTTTGATTACAGACTTAGGTTATCGCCACTCAAATCTTTGGTTTTTGTGGTCCTCTGTTAGGAGTTTCGGGACCCAACGGGATCACAGTTTCCTAAACTTTAGGTGTTCAGAAACAATGTTATAAAGCACTGATCTCGACACATCAGGAAATTCGTTTGAGAGACCTGTTATTGTGAAGTGCCAGTGTTCACAAATCCTCGCTTCAACTGAAGCCACCAAATCATCTGTAATCAAAGAAGGGCGAGCGGAGCGGTCGTCATCATGGACGTTGTCACGGCCATCTTTGAATTGTTGTACCCACTTACACTTACACACTTTGCTTTCACTCATAACAGTATCACCGTTCACTGAGCGAACCTCACATGCGGAGGGTGAGTTGATAGTCTTAAACAGAGCGGAAACTGAGCACAGTTGTTCCCGAGGCATGCCGGTACATGACGCACGCGCTTGTTGCGGTATGCGTGTGAACTACTAGTGTTTACAACGAAACGGACCTTACTTAAAAAATACCCCTCATATTTATGGTTTTATGTCCCAGCATTGAATGTTTACCATATATATGTTGTGCTCCGCCCTGAGTCCCCTGCGGGGTGAGAAGGGCGGAATATAAATGTTTTAAATAAATAAATAACATTTTTAGTGGCTCCTTTGCTTTTAGAAGTAACATTAGTGATAATAATCTGCAAGCACTGACCCCTAGAGAACAACAGATAAAGCCGCTTTTAAAGGTACAGCAACGGACCAGATCTCTATGTGATCTTATTTTTTTTCTTAACTAATGTGTAAACCTCACAGTCTATTTGGAAAGCTTTAAGATGTAAATAATTGAGTAACAAAACAAAAGATTTAAAGTGTTTACTTTTTCACTTTAAGAATGTTTTTTCTCCCTCCCCTTCCTCCCCATTCCTTTCAATAGTTTCTTTTTGGGATTTGGCCGGTTCTTCTAGTAGAATCGACTAAGAAGCAATGATAAGGAACACCTGGCCAGAACTGAAGTACTGCCTGCCATGGATGCATAAGGAGATTCTGCAATCATTTTGACAGATGCGTTGGAAGTTCGCGGGGAGTGCAAAGGACTCCTGGAGTCGTGGAGAAATCATGTAGAACCAACGTTTCTCAGGAAACCACGATTACAGGTTTTTCCTGTTTGAGGTGTCAAAACGAGAGCGCAGTTTTCTTATGTACCTGTTGAAAAGCTTGAAAAGTCGGACTGGCATATTGGACTGGTCACAGCAAACAGGCCACACTTACTTTTTGAAAGCAGGTTTGACCAGTCCTCTGTGATTGAACCGTAAAATGCTTGTAACTGAATTGTGAGTAACATTGGAGCCAAATGAGGAGGAGCAATCCATTTGATTAATAAGGGACTCAGTGTTCTGTTGTGTGTTTTAATGTGTCCACTGCTTACGTTGTAATGGTTTTGGAAGCTGTCTTCTGTCATTGTCTCAAAATTGCTGCCTTTAATGACTAGTGCAGATTCTGGACGGCTAAGGTAGAAGCACTGTTCTTCTCAATGGGTGACACATTCCGTTCTTTGTACAGAATGTGGGACATTGATTGAGAGTTCCCTTGACGTGCAAAAGAATAATGCCCCAGAGGTTTAGAAACTACGGTTGCCTCTAAAACGGTCTTGCTTTTCATGGATGACCCAATGTCCAGCCAACTGCACAAGTCAGCCACTGCCTTTGTTCTTGATAGAAGTGGTAGAAGTGCTAAATGCTTTGCAATGTGGGGAAGGAAACTGAAGTAGGCCTCTCTCTCTAGCTCTACATCCACTTGGGATTGCAATACATTTTTGGATCAGTGCAGAGGCTGTGTTAGTATAGAGATAGCTGTGCTATCTCCCTAGGATGTATACTTCCCTTGTCTTTCTCACATGCCATCGATGGGCACTCTTTTGACTGATCTAAATTATAACCATGATCCGTCCTTTCGATTTCTAGTCCTTTGACCATCCTCTACCTCTTTTTTTTATTCTGAAGTCTGTTAAGCACAGTTTTTTTCTCTTACTCAATTTTACTTAGTAACATCTAGTGTTCAGTCTTACATTTCCAAGCTTTAAAACAGCTAGGATATGCTTTTCAACCATTTTCAGGTTTTTATGGTGACCTGGTACCTAACCTGCCAGATAAGGAGGCCTGTATTTGTAAGCCAAAGGGGCCAGCCTCCTTTGACCACATTGATTTCATAGAATCAAAGAGTTGGAAGAGACCTCATGGGCCATCCAGTCCAACCCCCTGCCAAGAAGCAGGAATGTTGCATTCAAATCACCCCTGACAGATGGCCATCCAGCCTCTGTTTAAAAGCTTCCAAAGAAGGAGCCTCCACCACACTCCGGGGCAGAGAGTTCCACTGCTGAACGGCTCTCACAGTCAGGAAGTTCTTCCTCATGTTCAGATGGAATCTCCTTTCTTATAGTTTGAAGCCATTGTTTCGCATCTTAGTCTCCAGGGAAGCAGAAAACAAGCTTGCTCCCTCCTCCCTGTGGCTTCCTCTCACATATTTATACATGGCTATCATATTTCCTCTCAGCCTCTGATTTGGGGATATAAACATTGACAATGAGGTTTCTATCTAGTTCAAAACAATTATGTGGAATTAAATCTAAGGCTCCATTATTTTCTTTTTTTTTAATAACAAACTCTCTAGGTTAGTGGTTCTCAACCTGTGGTTCCCAGATGTTTTGGCCCTCAGTTCCCAGAAATCCTTATAGCTGATAATCTGGCTGGGATTTCTGGGAGTTGTAGGCCAAAACACCCGGGGACGCACAGGTTGAGAACCAGTGCTCTAGGTAATACGCACACATAGAGCCTCTGGCTTTGGAACAGTCCCTGTCTCTCAACCTAACCTGCAATCGTGTTCATGGAGGTCAAAGTCGTTAATGGTTACTAGTCATGAAAAGTACTTGTTAACTTCCCATCCCAAGTAGTGTGTCTTATCAGTACCAACTTATGGAGAATACACTGCTCTTGTACACTTACGTCCTGTTAATATAATTCCCAGGGGCATCTGGATGGTGACTGTAAGTAAAAAACATGGAGCAAGTAGACTTGGTTTGGACCTGGAAGGACTCATGTTGTTAGGCAGGGGTCCCCAAACTAAGGCCCGTGGGCCGGATGCGGCCCTCCAAGGTCATTTATCTGGCCTCTGCCCGAAACTTTAGACTTAGGTTTGCCCTAAGTGTGAAATTACTTGAAGGCACACAACAACAATCGTAATTCATCATCCAAAAGTAGGCCCACACTTCCCATTGAAAATTGTTCTTCATTTTAAATATTGTTTTGTCTTTCATTGATTTTTTTATTTTTATTTTTTTGCATTATAGATAAGATAAGTGCAGTGCGTATAGGAATCACTTCATTTTTTCCCAAACTATAGTTCGGCCCCCCAACAGTCTTGAGAAACCGTGAACCGGCCCCTGACTTAAAAAGTTTGAAAATCCCTGTTGTTAGGAGAAATGTGCATGCCATTGTGAGCTTTTTGGAGAGCAGGCAATATAATGATGTAATGTCATATTTCTTTGATTCTGAAGTACCATTGATTGTAGGGCACATACTAATTTCAGTACCACCAACAGAATAAGCCATTCCACCAAAGCAGATAGTATCTGCAATTCTAAGATGCACCCTGCTTTTAAAGATTTTTATATGGGGGTGCATCTTAGAATCAAAATAATGTAGTAAATGAATTTGTTGGGACTGTGAGTTCTCCAAAAGTTTAGTGTGTGTGTGTGTGTCAGGAGTGACTTCAGAAACTGCAAGTTGCTTCTGGTGTGAGAGAATTGGCCGTCTGCAAGGACGTTGCCCAGGGGACACCCAGATATGCTCCATCCTGTGGGAGGCTTCTTTCAATGTCCCTGCATGAGAAGCTGGAGCTGACAGTCCTGGCAGCACAAGGGTTTAACCCATTGTGACACTGGGGGATCTTCTCCAAAAGATAAACAGAGAGGAAAGGCAAACAAAAACATTGGCCTGAGTTCATTGGCATCCCCAAATACGTAAAAATGAAGCAAGTCTCACATACATACTAGTAGTCTCACAATAAGTTTAGAATCCAGCTGTTGATCTTTTGTTTAACTGGGATAAAAACCTCTTTGAGCACATTGCTTCTCTTCCATATGCTCTTTGAACTTCTGTATCCTTCATCCTCAAGTTGCCAAGCCTCTCTCTTGAGATAGCCAGCGCTCTCACTCTTGAGGTGCCTGAGGCATTACATTCATGATTTTCACTCTGAGCCAAAATGGCCAGTTCTCTTAAGGTCAACCTACTGCCTTCTATGGTGCTGGAATTTACTTTTCATGGACAGTAGGGATATTTGATAGTTATAGCACAGTAGGGTGCAGCCTAGCCAGTTGTATATATGAGCTTATGGTAGAAAAAAAATATGCAGGATGCTCTGGTAACATTTAAAAATGTAAGAATGTATTGCAGCAGATAATACATCTTGGATAAAAGACTAGATAGGCAAAATAAAGTTACCTAACTTTGGCAAAAGACTCCGTAATGCTGAATCTCATGTGAGAACCATATAATAAAAGCCTTATAGTATTTCTCCTACATGCTGCCAGGATAGAAATAGTCAAGTGTCAGGAGCAACTTGAGAAACTGCAAGTCTCTTCTGATGTGAGAGAATTGGCCATCTGCAAGGACGTTGTCCAGAGGACACCCAGATGTTTTATCATCCTGTGGGAGGCTTCTCTCATGTCCCCGCACAAGAAGCTGGAAGTGACAGATGGGAGCTCACCCCACTTCCCAGATTTGAACCGCTGACCTTTCGGTCAGCAGTCCTGACCCATTGTGCCACTGGGGGCTCCTAGTCAAGGTTTGGGAGGGATGCAGAATAAGGGCCATCCATAACTTTAAAAATTAAAATACAAATTAAAATTGGAGGAGAAATAAAATGAAATTTATTCAAGGCTATATCGAAATTATTTAGCAGCCTTATTTGCCAGAGTAATTGCAAATTTAAACCACTCTCAGATCAAGTTGGATTTGGTTAAATGACTAGAGAAAATTATGGCTATTAATAAAATTTGAAGGCATAATAGAGGATCATTTATTAAGTGGCTTGACAGAGTCGTTTGTTAATGTCTGTGGCTTGGGGAGAAGAGGATGGATGGGATAAGGTAAAACGTTAGATTGTTAAAATTCAGCACAAAATCTTCCCAGTGATAACTCAGAGATATTTTAGATCACAAGCAAGTGAGTTTAGCATCATCAGATAAAGTCATTGCTATTCTGTTCCTTTCCCCGATTTATAGATCTGGCTCTATATCCTGCCAGCCAATATTTTCCTGAGAGAGGGTGATTTTATTCCATTTCTCTTATGTAATAGCTTCACATGGGTTTTGATGCAAACATTATACAGTGAGCATCAGTGACCACTCATCAATGATTTTTTTGGTGATGTGCCTCCATCTCTATTATGAGTTGAAAAGCAATTTCCCCCAATTTTCTCTCCAAAACCTCTTGTTGCAGAATGGCAAAAAAAGAATGCAGATTTTAGATAGTGTGCCTCTCCACTGCCATGTGATGTTCATTTAAGCAGTATGTATCTGTAAAAAAAACAAAAACCCTCACCTGATATAGGAAGGTTTTGAGCCTTTCTTCCACTGCCCTTGTCCCCTCCTCCCCTGGTGCTGTTTTTGCATTCATTCAGAGCCTGGAAAAGTGACATTGTGTGTCTTCAGCCTCCCAGTTTCCCAGCCATTATGGTCAGTGGTGGCTCCCATTTCAGTGGGACAATTAATCCAGTTTCAAATCCAGGCTTTCAATGAATTCTCAAACATTATTCTGGATTGGACCTAACCAACATTTGTCAATGGAGTGGAAGTGGTGGGATCCTTAGGTGGGCATGACCATGTGCTCCTGGAGCTTGTGATACAAAGGAAGGGGGAAACTAAGTCATAACATGCATTCTAGACTTTGGGAGAACTGACTTCAGGAAATGTAAGGAAATTCTGAACATTTATTTATTTAGGGCTTTTATATCCTGTCCTTTCTCAACCTCCGCAGAGGGACTCAGGATGGCTAACAAAACATAAATATACAATTAACAGCAATATAATAACAACAGTATAAAACCATATAAACAATATAAAAACAGACAACAAACAGTCAGTGGTCACCGATTTAAATCATTATCCAAGGGCAGTCCATCAGTTCTAAATAAGTCAACATGTCAGCAAGTCAGCCTATTCTCCAAAGGCCTGATCCCATAGCCAGGATTTTACTTGTTTCCGGAAGGTCAAGAGGGATCCGGCAGATCTAATTTCACTCAGGAGGAGGTTCCATAGCCGGGGGGGGGGGGGGGGCACACAGAAAAGACCCTGTCCTTGTCCCCACCAGACGCGATAGTGACAATGGGGGGACAATGAGCAGGGTCTCCTCATATATCTTGGGGCCCTAGGTGGATCGTAGCGGAAGATACGTTCGGACAAGTAAACTGGGTCAGGAGAGATGCTTCTAGAACATGGCCATATAGCCCGAAAAAACCCACAAGAACTGGGTCAGAACTGTTAAGGGACAGACATACTAAAAGAGAAGAGAGTTAATGATGGATGGAAGTTTCTTAAAAGTGAGATACTGAAGGCACAATTGCAAACAATGTCAGCAAGGGAAGAGTTAAGTCTAAGCAGCTGTGGTACATTAAACACATTTTGAGCTTTCTGAAAGTGTTCTCACAAAAGCTTGGTGTGATAACAGAAGGTGTATTGGCACCTTGGACAGCTCCTCTAAAGCTCACAAAAACCTGGAATGAATTAGCCTATATATTTATGTAGAAGTCTAGATATTTTAGGTCAAAAATGAATCCAAAAATTGACTTGACATCCATGAAACAGTGTTAATAATTTATTTCTACTCTTATTTAAAAAGGAACCATCCTCTTTGAATAGAAACGTAAGAGCTGTTTTGGAAGAATCTAAGAACAGAACCAACTTGTATATGTGGTCAACTTATACTTATATGGTAATTACCCAATTGACATGAGAGCCACTGTTCACTAATGCCGCTAGCTATGGCATCTGGTGGCTTGTAGGAGTTGTAGTACAAAAATAGTAACTTCTCCAACCCACAGAACAGGGATCATCCTCCTTGATCGCCATATTCCTAATCCCACTTTGTTCTTACTCTTATCCAGCAGTTACTATAAGCAGGTTAAAAAAAAAGATGCACACATCATTAAGTCATAATTACATTTAATTCACACTCCCAAGGTGAAACTACCTAAAAGGCAGGCACTGAAACTCACAGCTTGCATTGGAATTCAGTGTGATAGCAGCTGGATATCCCAAAATAGTACATGTCTCTGTGTGGTTCGGAACAGCTCATAGAGCTGCAACATAATAAAGTGCTGTCTCCACCCTAGTCAGAATATTTCTAAATTCAGCTTTCACCTTCCCTATGTCTGTTGAGCTGTAATGATAGTTTTGAAGGGAAGTGCTTATAAAGAAATGTGTAACTCGATGACTAGCATCCTAAAGTGGCCTTGGACTAGCTCTTTAATTGCTCTTCAACATAAACATTGCACTCAATTTCCTAGTTGCGGCTTAGTCACCTTTGGTGAGTGAATCTTTTTGGAGAGATTGTGAAATGTTATAAAGCATTGCTCCACACAATTTAAATATCACTGTGTGGGGATGTCCAAGAGGAATGTTGATGGATTTACTTGCAAATTTGGATTATCTGGTCTAGTTGATTTTTAAATTGAAAAGAGGACTCTTCAGAAATTCTGGGTTTTTTGATCCCAAGAAATCAGAAGACCGATTTCTGTCATTACATCTATTTGTTGATTAAAGTTCATCAACAGGAACCTTTCAATTTCGCATTTTAACAATTGGCACTTTCAGTCTGATTTTGATTAGTTGAGTCCCTGATCTGTAATGACTTTCATCTGGATGGATGTATGCTGGCAATTCCAGTGAATGGATCAAGGGTAGAACTTGGAAAGGTTGTGTTTTGGATTGCAACTCCTGGAATCTTTCAGCCATCGCTGCCTCTTTTCCAGGCTTTTGCTCAGAGTTTAAAAAGAGGAAAAGACAATTGCAAATCCTGAAGTCTGTCCTGTTTTGGTTTAGAGCAGGGGTCCTCAAACTAAGGCCCGAGGGCCAGATACAGCCCTCCAAGGTCATTTACCCGGCCCTCGCTCAGGGTCAACCTAAGTCTGAAATGACTTGAAAGCACACAACAACAACAACAATCTTATCAGCCAAAAGCAGGCCCACAATTCCCATTGAAATACTAATAAGTTTATATTTGTTAAAACTGTTCTTAATTTTAATTATTGTATTGTTTTAAAGTGTGTTTTGCACTACAAATAAGATATGTTCAGTGTGCATAGGAGTTGATTTGTTTTGTTTTTTTTTCAAATTATAATTTGGCCCTCCCAACAGTTTGAGGGGCTGTGACCTGGCCCTCTGTTTAAAAAGTTTGAGGACCCTGGTTTACAGTGTATTGGTCTCTTTCATGCTACACACTTCAACACAGTTGTAGCTACTGTGGCTGCATCCTTTGGAAACTTGGGATTTGTACTTTCACAAGACATTCTCTGCCAAAGAATCTTCCCAAACTACAACTCTCAGGATTCTGTAGGATGTAGAAATGGAAGTTAAAGTGGAAACAGAATGCTACACGGACAGCTCTCCATATTCGCTGGGGCCAGGGACACAAGACCTCCATGAAGGTGAAAAACCATAAGGAAAGACATTGCTATCTATCTATCTACCTTCTTACCTACCTATCTGTCTCCTAAGATGTCAAGGTTTTGCAGCACAACTCTGGTCAACTTCCATTGGAATCACATTGGAAGACCTAGAGATTCCTAGAGATGTGTTGTCTCTTGAAAGCTGTTGGTCCTCCAGCATGACTGGAGGAAGTTGACCATAAACTCACACTGAAGGGCCTAGAGCAGGGGTAGGGAACCTTTGGCCCTCCAGCTGTGGTGGACTTCAACTCCCACAATTCCTTGAGGCTCGGCATTCGCCCCAAAGGCTTACCTTGGCCCAATGCCGAGCCTCAAGGAATTGTGGGAGTTGAAGTCCACCACAGCTGGAGGGCCAAAGGTTCCCTACCCCTGGCCTAGAGCAAGCATGGGCCAACTTGGGCCCTCCGGGTGTTCTGGACTTCAACTCCCACAATTCCTAACAGGTTGTTAGGAACTGTGGGAGTTGAAGTCCAAAACACCTGGAGGACCCAAGTTTGGCCATGCCTGGCCTAGAGAGAACATATCCCACCAAATCCATGAATAATCAAATCCACAAAAGTTCAAACCACAAATGTGGAAGGCCTATTCTGTTGTGTGAAGGAGACTATAGTCAATTAGCAGCTATGTTGTACTGTTTTCAGGTTGCATTTTCTATCCTTTACATGCCTTTTGCTCCCAAAAGCTTCCTGATATGTCTCAGTATCTAGCAAAACACAAGTCCCGTTTGTTTGTTTAAAGAAATCTGTAGTCTCCATAATAACAAGATGGTTTATCCCGAAGGCTGTAGCAACTGTGTTATTACCGATGGATGAATATGCAACATATGACTAAAGCAAGCCTGGGCATCTGAGAATTTAAATACCACACAGTATTTTAACAGGATCTGCCTCTTGTTCATGTGTTTGTCTAGACTTGTGCAAGAAAATTGTGCTGTTGTGTACTGCCGCTTTATTTGAATGGTTTTAATTCTGTTCCAAGTTGACTGCAATGTGCAATTTGTGTGTGTTTGCAAATAAGAAAGGCTTTTATTGGTATATATATCCTTCGAAAACTAGGTGTCTGTGTCACATCCAGTCTTTAGCAAAGGCGAAAGTTGATTTGGTGGATACGAACAATGAATAGTTGTTGGAGCCTTTGGAGTTGATTAGAGATGGGTAAAAAAACAGGCCTTCTGCAGAAGTCAAATCCACAAATGTTGAGGGCCAAAGGAATCTTGTAGCACATGAGAAAAAAAGATATGTATAATATACTTTTGTGGGCTCTGTTTCTTTTTCTCAAAGACATTAATAATTCTTTTACACTTCTGTCTGATGCCTGGTTCCTCTCAGTTCTTTCTTTTCCTCTTGTAGCTTTTCTTTCCGGAGCTTGTAAGGCTGCTCTTTTGAGACCTCTCCGCACACTCCTTACCGATCTTTCTGAAGTACAGAGTGCATTAGTAATGCTGTTTTCCTTCCATGCTATATAAGAGGTTTCAGTGGGATTTCCTCTCCCTGGAAGTCTCTTCTCAGTTGGTGCCCCATTGCTGCTTTGCTATCACTGCCTTGGCGTCCAGTGTTAAGGCCCACAAGACTCGGAATTAAAATATCCTTCAGAGCTCCCTGTCCAAAGTTCAGATTAGTATTTGGGTTGTTGTAGGTTTTTTCGGGCTATATGGCCATGGTCTAGAGGCATTCTCTCCTGACGTTTCGCCTGCATCTATGGCAAGCATCCTCAGAGGTAGTGAGGTCTCACTACCTCTGAGGATGCTTGCCATAGATGCAGGCGAAACGTCAGGAGAAATGCCTCTAGAC